GGGCAGATTCCATCAAAAACAGCTGAAGCTCAAAGCTGCTGTAGTTTTTAGGAGGCAGCGGGCGGCAGGTGAGTTTATCACTGAACAAAGCAGCGAGACCACCCCCACCTTCACCACTCTCTGAAAATCTTTGCAGAGAGTGGTGAAGGCTGCACAGAAGATGTTGGAGTCAGTCTCCCCACCATCACAGACATCTACACCTCTAGATGCAGGAAGAGGGCCACCCGCATCATGAAGGACCCCAGTCACCCAGCACATACACTTTTTGCCCCACTCCCCTCAGGAAGGAGGTTAAGGAGCATTAAGTGTAGAACCACTAGACTGAGGAACAGCTTCTACCCTGAAGCTGTTAGACTCATGAATCTCTAACCAGAATAATCACTGTGAAAAACCATATCATGTTGCTGCTGATCTGTTTCATGTTGATGTGTTCATGCGTGCACATCTGCTCACACAGACTCATGTTCATGTTTGTGATGCTGTTTGACCTAATGTTTTTAGGCTATTAGTGCTTAGTGTATATTTAGTTGATGTTTTTCTTAGTTCATATCTTAGATGTTATTACTGTTTTTCTTTTACATTTTATTGTTGGATGTAACTGTAGGATCCCTGGTTTCTCCCTGGCCTGTCTGCACTCACTCTCTCCACAGCTCATCGCTAATTACCCTGATGAGATCCACCTGCTGTTTTCCTAAGGAGGACTGATCGTGGTTGCCTACTTAAGCTGCAGCCAGACATCTCTCCAGTGCTGGGACAACTTCTGCCTATGGGTAAACTAGTGTCCAGTCACTAACCTTTTCCCTTACAGCCGATTCTGATCGACGACGTTCCTCTCCAGGACCTCCATGTCCTGCTCCTCTGAAGTCCTTCCACGGGCCTCGTCCAGCACTCCACGGTGCACCTACAAAAGCAGCAGAGAGTCTGGTCTCATCAGTGGTTAAACAAACTACTGGGTCTACCTGTTCCTCTCTCCACCGTGTCTCACCTATTCATCTCCATCGAAACCAGGACCTCAACTCTCCCTCGGCGCCTTCCCCTACAACAACGAGTAAGACGACTTTGTTCATCTCAAGAATCTGTCAACAATATTGGATACTCACCTCTCCACCATTCTCTTCCAGCTCGTCTCTCCAACTCACCTGTAAATAAAGAACACTTATATTGTATTCCTGGTTGTAGTGTCTTCTTCCTCGGTCTACTACTTCGTGGTCCCAACATACGACATCATGATAGTAACTGGGACCCTGTGTACATAATTTCGTTCGCACCACATGTACCACATGAGGAGCAAACGACAATAAAGAATCTGACTCTGAAAATAGGTTGGGAACCACTGCACTAGGTAAACTGAAAGTAATTGTTAAAAGTGGTTCTAATATTCTTACACTTTAAAGGAAGAAGCCAGTAAGGGACACCTTATCTGAAAAGGAACAAAATGGGGTCCGGACCCACTAAGATTTCTGACGCTCCTCCAGACAGTCCCATCTGCAACGTCATGTCACAAAAATTTGTTCTTGAAAGTCTCATTTGTGTGAATGGGTTAAAAAAAAAAAAAATCATGGTTTCCCCAAAGGGGGTAGTTTGACTTTGAATAAAATCCAGAAAGTTTCAGAAAGTGTTGAAAAGGAGTGGACGACTAGAAGTAAGGGCAGAATGGTAAACGGATGGTAAATTAACTGTACTTGTATAGCGCCTTTCTGTCTGATCAAGATACTCAAAGCGCTTTACACTGTGTCCTCATTTACCTATTCATACAGCACTCTACATGAATTGAGACATCTCTTCCAACACACTTAGAAAACCGGGTGTCATTTTTAGACTGGGTTGTATACTGAACATATCGTAAAAGGAGCACTGCTAATGATTCACTTATGCCCTGTTTGCACTGCCCCTAATCAGCCCCAACTCTGCTCAGCCCTGCACACCCCTAATCAGCCTGGCTCAGCTCAGCCTGGATTTGCACCTGCACTTTAGGACCGATTCTGGAGGCATGTCCAGAATCCATATCGTGCCAATGAGTTTTGCTATGAGTTACTCAAAGCAACATTTATCAGTTATCAATTATCAGTTATCAATTATCAGTTATCATTTATCAGTTAGCCCTGTGATGGACTTGCGACCTGTCCAGGGTGTACCCCGCCCCTCGCACAGTGATTGCTGGACATGGGCACCAGCGACCCCCGTGACCCAAAAATGGAATAAACAGGTAAAGATAATGGATGGATGGATGGCATTTATCAGTTATCATTTATCAGTTATCAGTTATCATTTCCACTTCCGGCAAGCTGATGGACGGCAGCTCCCTCCGGCTTCTCTGCAGTCTTTTATCATCAAACAGACCCGTTTTTTTTAACCGGACTAAAGTTGGTCCTCCTTCCAACCGAATTCGGTGTTCAGCGACTCAGAAAGCCGGATGGGACCGTCCAAAAATACATTTTTGGTCCAGGACCGGCCGCTCCCACTCCACCGGTCACTCTGAGCGCACCCTGCCTGCCAGGTGACCCCTCGAGCTGGGGAGTCATCGCACGAAGTTTCTCTCTCTCTCTCTAGACCTCAACAAACTTCTCATCTGGACCTTTGTGGTTCTACCTGGTTCCGACAAAAATCGCCGGGTGGTATTTCGCTGGTTTTCTGCTGGACTGGCCCTCGTGGTGTCTTCATAGGTGTGGGGGAAGTGTACCTGTGACCCTCGAACTGGACCAGAACCGAACCGAGTTGGCTGTGGGGGACTTTGTCTTCAACATAGCGTGTCTCAGCTTCAGTGAGCAGCCCGTTACTTTTAACAAAGGACTGTCCACTTCTGTGGAATTGCTGTGTTTACCTGGAGGAGACGCTCCGGTGCTTTGAAGCGCCGCTGAACCGGAGCAGAACCGCGCCAGGGACAACTTCAGCCTCTTCGTCTCTCGTGCTGTGGAGCGCCAGAGCTGGACTGGAGCAGAACCGGACCAGTGTCGACTTCAGCCTCAGCCTTTCTGGTCAGTCTCGTTTTTCACCGGAGGTGCCTCTCGTGCTGTCGGGTGCGGAGGTGTCGTGCAGAGAAGCGGAAGAGCAGCATGGAGGAGCAACGTGAAGGCGCAGGGCTAAGTGGTGCTAGAGAGAAGTTTGGAGTTTGTATTGGAGTTGCTGCAGGCCTCCATCCAAACTCACCTGGATATTAATTATTTTTATTCCGGATCACGCTGTTGTCCCCTGTTGGCCTGAAACGAGCTTGGATCATGCCTTTCACTTCAGGAGGATTTTCTGGCAGCTCGCTCTGCTATTTGCTACAAATTATCTGTTTCTATTTCTGCCTGTTGATTCTGGACCCAGCTTCTGTTTCCCATGGGAGCATCCATCCATCTTCACTGGGCGGCCGGAGCCCCCCTCAGCCCAACTCAAACTGCAGTTGGGCCACCTCATCGGGTTTGTTTGCCCATTTGAACTGTGACGTTTTATGGTCTGAGACTTTTCCGCATCATTCATATTACTGTCACTATTTTCAGTTCT